CAGCATTATACTTAACGGAGAAAAACTGAAACCATTCCCTCTAAAATCAGGAACCAGACAAGGATGCCCACTATCTCCACTCCTATTCAACATAGTACTGGAATTCCTAGCCAGAGCAATTAGGCAAGAAGAAGGAATAAAAGGAATACAAATAGGTAAAGAAACTGTCAAAATATCCCTGTTTGTAGACGACATGATCCTATACCTTAAAGACCCAAAAAACTCTACTCAAAGCTTCTAGACACCATCAATAGCTATAGCAAGGTAGCAGGATATAAAATCAACATAAAAAATCATTAGCATTTCTATACACTAACAATGACAAACTGAAAAAGAATGTATGAAAACAATTCCATTTACAATAGCCTCAAAAAAATCAATACCTAGGTGTAAACCTAACAAAGATGTGAAAGACCTCTACAAGGAAAACTATAAACTTCTGAAGAAAGAGATTGAGGAAGACTATAGAAAGTGGAGAGATCTCCCATGCTCATGGATTGGTAGAATCAACATAGTAAAAATGTCTATACCCCAAAAGTAATCTACATGTTTAATGCAATTCCCATCAAAATTCCAATGACATTCATTAAAGAGATTGAAAAATCTACTGTTAAATTTATATGGAAACACAAGAGGCCACGAATAGCCAAGGCAATACTCAGTCAAAAGAACAATGCAGGAGGTATCACAATACCTGACTTCAAACTATATTACAAAGCAATAACAATAAAAACAGCATGGTACTGGCACAAAAACAGACATGAAGACCAGTGGAACAGAATAGAGGACCCAGATATGAAGCCACACAACTATAACCAACTTTCTTTGACAAAGGAGCTAAAAATATACGATGGAGAAATAGCAGCCTCTTCAACAAAAACTGCTGGGAAAACTGGTTAGCAGTCTGCAAAAAACTGAAACTAGATCCATGTATATCACCCTATACCAATATTAACTCAAAATGGATCAAGGATCTTAATATCAGACCCAAACTCTAAAGTTGATACAGGAAAGAGTAGGAAATACTCTGGAGATAGGTATAGGTAAGAACTTTCTCAATGAACCCCAGCAGCACAGCAACTAAGAGATAGCATAGATAAATGGGACTCATAAAACTAAAAAGCTTCTGTTCATCAAAAGAAATGGTCTCTAAACTGAAGAGACACCCACAGAGTGGGAGAAAATATTTGCCAGCTACACATCAGACAAAGGACTGATAACCAGAATATATAGGGAACTTAAAAAACTAAATTCTCCAAAACTAATGAACCAATAAAGAAATGGGCAAGTGAACTAAACAGAACTTTCTCAAAAGAAGAAATTCAAATGGCCAAAAAACACATGAAAAAATGCTCACCATCTCTAGCAATAAAGGAAATGCAAATTAAAACCACACTAAGATTCCACCTCACCCCTGTTAGAATAGCCATCATTAGCAACACCACAACAACAGGTGTTGGCGAGGATGCGGGGAAAAAGGAACCCTCTTACACTGTTGGTGGGAATGTAAACTAGTACAACCACTCTGGAAAAAAATTTGGAGGCTACTTAAAAAGCTAAACATTGATCTACCATTTGATCCAGCAATACCACTCTTGGGGATATACCCAAAAGACTGTGACACAGGTTACTCCAGAGGCACCTGCACACCCATGTTTATTGCAGCACTATTCACAATAGCCAAGTTATGGAAACAGCCAAGATGCCCCACACTGACGAATGGATTAAGAAAATGTGGTATCTATACACAATGGAATTTTATGCAGCCATGAAGAAGAACGAAATGTTATCATTGCTGGTAAATGGATGGAATTGGAGAACATCATTCTGAGTGAGGTTAGCCTGGCCCAAAAGACCAAAAATCGTATGTTCTCCCTCATATGTGGACATTAGATCAAGGGCAAACACAACAATGGGATTGGACTTTGAGCACATGATAAAAGCGAGAGCACACAAGGGAGGGTGAGGATAGGTACGACACCTAAAAAATTAGCTAGCATTTGTTGCCCTTAACGCAGAGAAACTAAAGCAGATACCTTAAAAGCAACTGAGGCCAATAGGAAAAGGGGACCAGGAACTAGAGAAAAGGTTAGATCAAAAAGAATTAACCTAGAAGGTAACACACACGCACAGGAAATAATGTGAGTCAACTCCCTGTATAGCTATCCTTATCTCAACCAGCAAAAACCCTTGTTCCTTCCTATTATTGCTTATACTCTCTCTACAACAAAATTAGATAAGGGCAAAATAGTTTCTGCTGGGTATTGAGGGTGGGGGAGAGGAGGGGCGGAGTGGGTGGTAAGGGAGGGGTGGGGGCAGGGGGGAGAAATGAACCAAGCCTTGTATGCACATATGAATTAAAAAAAAAAAAAAAAAAAAAAAAAGAAAATGTTGGTATTTATACACAATGGAATTTTATGCAGCATGAAGAAGAACGAAAGGTTATCATTCGCTGGGTTAAATGGATGGAATCTGGAGAAAAACATCTTTCTGAGTAGGTTTAGCCTGGCCCAAAAGACCAAAAAAGTCGTATGTTCTCCCTCATATTTGACATTTAGATCACCTTACTTAAAGAGATTCTGTTTGTTTTTTTTGTTTTGAACTTTTTATTGTTTGTTTTATTTTTTGGTACATTCACATTCCTACTTTGGATACAACAAAATCATCTGAAAGTTTTTGTTTTTTTTGTTTTGAACTTTTTATTGTTTGTTTTATTTTTTGGTACATTCACATTCCTACTTTGGATACAACAAAATCATCTGAAAGTTTGAACTGAATATATTAGACTCAGTCACATAAACCAGCACCATTTTCTTCATGAAATACTAAGCAGAGCCGCATAAAGTATGTGGGTAGAGAAAATGCAGGCCTGGACATGTGTAGTGTGCAGAGTGATAGAAAGGCAGTGCTACACCAACTGAGTGCATGAATGGCAGTAGCTGATCCACCTCAATTGTGTGGCTTCAAATTTCCAGCTTTGTCAAGGTCATAAGGGACTCTCTTTCAGATGAGGCTGCCCTGTTGTGCTAGGGCAGCCTTCAGTGAGCACTCACTGTCCAGTAGCCATGACTGTCCAGCCTCAGGGATCAGGGACAATTAGGAAAACCAGGAATGGTGCTTTGTAATCTCTTGTGTGATGGGAACAAGGTAAGGGCAATGACATGTGGTCATTCTGGTATTTTCCTCTGCTTTTATTATACTCCTCTTCTTTTTCCATTATTCTTTTTTGTTGTTATTATTACTATTATTATTGCTACCCTTCCCCCATTCCCCAACCTTGCTTTTCTTAGAATATTGACTAGGAACCAGAGCCCATTTGTGCTGAGCCTTAAGGCAGCTGTTTATACGGCAGCAGTGTTACATAGGTTTACTCTGTCGTATGTCTGTGTAGCACTGGATTTGGATCTTGTATTTAGCTGCCAGAAGTGACTGTGATGAAGTAGAAGAGATAAACTGATAGATTGGCTGCCAGAAAGATGTTGGGAATCAATCAGATAAACAGGGTAGAGAAATAGCTTGCTGTTTTCTAGTGTTAATAAACCAGTGGCCTCTGGTCCCCACATTTTAAAACATAATTGCTGTGGTTATAATGTCCAATATAAGCAAATGAAAAGACTTCATAGAAACGTTTTAATTGTGATTGAGATACTCTTTTCCCTTTTGCAATAAGGATGCATCTTGTGGTAGTGAATATTTTTTATAAATTTGTTTTACTTCTTGTAGTGCTTACATAAACAAATGAAAATTAGAAAGTAACCTACTTTCATAGGAATTTATTTCTTCTCCATCTCCCACAGGCTTTAGCTATTTAATTTAGTGAAATATCTATGTTGCTACTATGTCTACCTACAAAATAATTGCTTTTTTTTGTGAAGGAACAAGTTTTAAAGTCAAATTTGTATTACTGATGGATTATTAGCAGGAACTAATTTTTTTGGAAGCAGTACTGGGGTTTGAACTCAGGGCCTCACACTTGCTAGGCAAGCTCTTTACCATTTGAGCCACTCCACCAGTCCAGCAGGAACTAGTTTATTTTAGTTTCCTCTCGATTTTGCTTACATTTTTGAAATTTTGATCTCTGTTGCTATTTCTTTGTATACAATACTTGTTTAGATGATATAAAAAAAATAAGGTGATATCTAGTTTTATTACTGTAACTTAAAATTTTCTTTTAATGTTTAAGTTCCATCGTATCTCCTCACTTAGGTCTTAAGATCCCATGCAGATTCCTAAGTATACGTGAAAGATACAGATTTAGTCTTTGATTGGATGCAGTGCAGTACCCAGGATTAAGAGAAGAGTAGGAGAGTAATTTAGAGTTCCTGTGGAGTTCATTGTAGAGAATGGGAGAGCGGCCCTTTGTGTTACACTTGAAGTGAAAACAAATGATTTTATTTTGGTTCCTTCTTAAAGTTTTTGTGGCTATGAGTGTGTTGGTGTCATGTTTGGGTAAATCACTTGATAGCCAGTATGGGAGAATGACAGCTATGGAAAGCAAGAGAGTGAAGTACACGCTCTTAATTATCTACAATTAAGACTTTTGCCTGAGGAAGATCTTCCTGAATCCTGGAGATTATAGTTCAGGAATTAATCATGCACCATTATCCTATGGGTGAGAAGCTGATACATTTTTGTTTTTGCCACACAGCCCTTCCCACCTGACCTTTTAAAGATTCTTCATTGATATCAATAGGGCAGACAAAACTAATCAAAAAACAATGAAAGGAGTGTTGCACACACATTGATCTATTTGAAATGATCTGCAGTACTATAAGTCTTCCAAATGGACTTCTGTTCTTAGGTATTGCTATAGCCACCTTTTAAAAGATACATAAATATGAAAGGGTTAATGGGAATTCGGTCATGCTCTTGCCACTGGGTTGTCTCTTATTGATTGTAGTTTAAAAGCTGTCACTATGCCATTCAGAATTCCTTCTGTGTCCTTTTAAAGTCAGTTGGTGCTGGGAGATGATAAATCAGTTGCTTTTCTTTCCTCCTAGCTCCTTCGAGAACTCATAGAACGGAAGACCAGCTCCTTGGATCCCAATGATCAGGTGGCTATGGGAAGGTAATTTAGATGTGGTTTTTCTACTCACACAGCCTATGTAATAGTTTTTCCCTTTGAGTCCCCTTAATTCTGCCTCCAAGACAGTGATTGGTCCTATAATTATCAAAGTTAATAAAGAAATTAAGAGGTAGAAAGACAAAATGACTAATTGCCATAAAAGTCTATCTTTTGCTCTTTGCTGGGTGTGGCTTGTGATTATATCCATATCAGTCTGCTGACCAGTGCATAAAAAGCTGCTACCCAAATGTGTGCTTTCAGCTGTCAGAATGTGGCACTGTGCACAACAGGTTCCTTGCTCAGAATCAAATCTGCTTTGTTGGCTTCAGTAAAAGCTGCAGCACAATTAGAAGTGGAATGTGACAGCATTACCCAGATGTCAGGGTAGAATGCGAAGTAGTGAAGGAAGGCTCTTGTGTGTACGCTTCATCCTGTGGTTAGAAAATAAAAAGGGCACGTGGAGTGTTACCTAATGAATAGGACATTTAAATACCATGAGCCATATTTGCAAAAGCATGAAAGGAAATGAAAGCTGTTAAGTGTCAGAGTGGGATTCTGGGCAGAGCAGCATTCTGCGTAAACAGTGAAAAATTTGTGTTGATGTAATGCTTTTATCTGAGTAGAATATGATTTGAATTTTCAGGTAGGATGTTGTGATATTTTGTGTATCTCTGGAATGCTATAGAGGCTGGTCACAATAAATATACTGTGATAGAGCAAATTGCATTGAAGTGTTGATTATAGTGTACATTTATCTGACTTTACAATAAAATAAATTATGGTCATTAAGATTATATTAAGATTACAGTAATTGGATTTCCCTAGTTTTTTTTTTTTTGATGTTGAGTTTTTCATTGTATAAATCAGGTAAGATGACTAGCTCCTGCTACTGTTTCTTCCTCCTCTTCCTCCTTTTTTTCCATATTTGTTCATAGAGCAATTTGTGACAATTTTCTTAGTTGAGTATCTCTTATTTGGAAAATTAATTTCTTCATATCTAACATGACTACAGAATATATGACTCTTGTGTGGATGCTGATCCAATGAATCACTTATAAAATTGAGACAGTCTGTGAAATTTGAAGACTGAATATTTGAAAGTAAAGAATTATTGTTACTTTTTATTTAGGTGTGATGATGGTATTGAGATGATACTGGGGAGAGAGTCCTTTCATCAACACATACTGAAGTGTTTATAAATGGAGAAATGACTATAAATCTAGCAGTCAGTCTGGATACGGTGGCTCACGCCTGTAATCCTGACTCCTCGGTATTGGAGATTGGAAGGATCATGGCTCAAGGCCAGTTTGGTCAAAAAGTTAAGCATGACCCCATCTCAACAAATAAGCCAGGCAGTGGTATCAGATACTGTAATCCCAGCTACATGGGAGTCAGAGATAGGAGGATCGATGTCTGAGGCCAGCCATAAGCAAAAGACCAAAACCAAAACATTAACAACAAAAAATCCCATAAGACCTTATCTGAAAAATAGCAAAGCAAAAAGTGCTGGGGGCATGGCTCAAGTGGTAGAGCACTTGCCTAACCCCAGTACCACAAAAATAAGCAGAACAAATGAACAAACAAAAACCTAAACAGAGAAATTAGTATCAATAATGGATAATTATTAAAAATTAGCAAAAATTAGAAAACAGAAGAAAAAGCACTTGAATGTTAGAAAAGGGAAAGTAAGAGTTAATTCATGTGTTCAAACCAACCAGCAGTTGCACTTAACAAGAGAACATACTGCACACCTAAAACACTGGAAGAAAACCTAAGCAGCTATGCTTAGTTTGCTGGGTTTTCATGTAGATGGGTAGATCTAGTGCTTGTCACAGCAACTCCAAATTCTAAGGAGCATTGTTAACCAAATTTGCTGTAGAATTTCCCAGCTGCCACTTGCTTTTTACCATTGCACAAATCCTCTTCAATTGATTAGTCACTTTGGCTTCAGACTGCCTTGAGAAATTTGATATAGGTTGATGATTTCCTTCTGCAGGATTGTTAGTGAGAAAAATTCCAATTTGTCAATATGTACAGCTATTTTGTTAGTGACGATGCATAACATTGCTTGTGAATTTCCCAGGCAGTGGCTTGCAATCCAGAAGCTACGAAGCAAGATTCGCAAGAAGGTAGATAGGAAAGCCAGCAAAGGAAGAAAACTTCGGTGAGTTATTGGAAAAAATTTTAATATATCATGTATCATGTAGGTGTCTTCTCTTATATTTTGGTGGTTATGTCATTTTTCTCTTCTGATGATTCTGTTTTGCGGAACAGAACAACAAAAATGATATTCAAGTTTTTCTGACTCTAAAATGGAAATCTAGTTTTAATGAATTTTTATTCTTCTGTTTTGAATAAGGATGTGCTAACATGCTATCTCTATTTCCTTGAAAGAAAGATAAGAAATAAGAAAACACAGTCAAGATAGTTAAAATTATTTTAGTTTTAAAAAGACACAATTAAAGGACTCTGGAGAATGTTAACAATTGTTTAAATGAGATGAGAAATGTAATTTTTATGAGAAAAATAGAGAAATATCTGAATATAGGAAAACTCTCTGCCCTGTGAGCTCTTTATGGAGTTTTACAAACATACATACAAGAGTAGGAACTGACACTTAGACTTATACCTTTGGTAACTCTGTGCATGTATGTGTGTGTGTGTGTGTGTGTGTGTGTGTGTGTGTGTGTGTGTGTGTGTGTGTAATATATCATCTTACAAAGCCTGTGTCAAAAGAATTGCTTGTAGTTCAGGTGCACATTGAAAAAAAATCTTAAACTTGCTTTAGATAGTTGTAAGCAGATAGCTAAGCCCACATCCTACTTAGAGAGCCTGCCTGTCATTAAATTCCCCGTAGATAAATGTGGATCTCTCTCTCTTTGTTTTTTGTGGCACTAGCATTTGAATTTCGGGCTTTATGCTTGCAAAGCAGGTACTCTGCTGGTTGAGCCACTCCTCCAGTCCTATCTGTTTCATTTTTAAAGACTTTCAGATGGTACATAGCTATGATCCCTACACTTGGGAGTCTGAGGTAGGAAGGTCTTGTGTTTGAGGGTCAACCTGGGCTACATAGTGAGACCCCATCTCAAAAAAAAAAAAAAGATTTCACAACCATTTTAACTTGTTTGTCAGTTAACAAAACCCATCTGGAAATGCTTTTTTTTTTTTTACTTTGCAAAAGTACAAAATAGCTTTTTCATCATATGTTGGTTTACAGTCACTTATATTAAATCTCAGTTTAAATTGTTATAATTTAAGTTTTCATTTGTTGAAATGTGTCTTGGGTGCATTGTTACTGTAGTGGCTAGGAGTGTAGTATAGTAGCAAGAGCTGGATTGCCTGAATCCCAGCTTTGATAGTGACTAGAAGTTACTTTGGGCAAACCGTAAACTCTCTTCACTAGATCCACTAGATCCATCTATAAGGTGAGTTTGCTGATTGAATGAGGAGGGTAGGTACAGATCTTAGAATAGGGCCAGGTACTGGGTAAGCACTATGTAAGTATTTGCTGCCATTATTACTATTACTGCTGTTGCTGTCATTATTCCAAAGCTGGGTCAATCTCCTACCCTGCTGTTCATTTACTTGCTTACTCATTTGCTTCTTCTATAACTTCTTCCTCCTTCTTCTCCCACCTAGGCTTTAGAGAGCAATGTTACTAATAGTACTTTATAAGTGATCAGGCTGAATGATTAATTACCTTATTCTTAACTTTTGGGATCAAATTTTTCTCCAGTGCTGTGCTTTTAAAATTATAACTTTTTTTTTCCCGAGGGTACTGCGTTTGAACTCAGGGCCTCATACATGCTAAGCAGGCACTCTACCACTTGAACCACTCTGCCAGGCCTTTTTTGTGTTGGACATTTTTGAAGTAGGGTCTCTCAAACTCTGTGCCTCGAGCTGGCTTAACCGTGGTCCTCCTGATCTCTACCTCCTGAATTGGTAGGATTACAGGTGTGAGCCACTAGCACCCAGCTTAAAATTATAACTTAGTGAGGCTATAGGTGTCTTCTGGAAGGAAGAATCAATGATTTCAAATAAGGAGACTTGAATTGACATCTTGGCTATGTGGTTTTGGTTCTTTATTCTCTGGGCCTTGCTTTATTTACTAAGTGGAGATAATAATCCCTACCTTATAAATCTGGTGTGGGAATTAAATAGTATGTAAATGTCTGGTACACACTTGACATTCAAATATTCGTTTCTTTGGTTTCTCTTTGTTTATCTATGGCATTTCTCTTGCAAATACATGCTTTTCAAAAAAACTGAGAGAGGTTGAGCACCCACATCTGTGATCCCAGCACTTGGGAGGCTGATGCAGGAGGGTCAGGAGTTCGAACCAGCATAGACTACATAGCAAAAACCTGTCTCAAAAAAACCCAAAATAAATATTAAATAAAAAATAAAAAAATTGAAAGGAAAAAAAAAGCCACTTCTCCATTATTATATTATTATGAATTTTAAAACTATTGTGAAATAGCTGTATTATATGTACCCTTTGAGGTAAGTAGTGGTGTACTTTATCCTGTAAGACAATTTTAACTTTATGATCACACAATCAATGCCTTGAAGGTATTATTCAACCATAAAATGTTTTGGAATGATTATGATAATAAAACTAAAACTCTCATCAGGTAATGAGAAATGCTTTAGCCATAAACATAACACAGACTAAGAAATCCAGATCCACATGTACAGCTAAGTTGCAGAGCATGTGCTTAGCATGCACAAGGCCCTGGCTTTGGTTCCCAGCACCAAAAAAAGAAAGGAAAAGGAAAACAAAGCAGAATGTGTGTTGAAGAAAGTTTGTGTGACAAGTAACTTAGAATATGAATCTGTTGTTTCCTGTATCAAAACACATTTATCAGATCTCATTAAACTGTACATTTGAGGTGTGTGTCAATGCAATTATATAACTTTGTTCTTTTTTTTTTTTTTTTGCTTAAAATTTTTTTTTATTATTGTGATACCTTGTGACATTTACCAAAGTTCTTACAATATATCATAGTTGAATTCAACCCCTCCATCATTCTCTTTTATCCCCTCTACAAGAACTTTGTTCTTGTAGCATTTTGGTAGTGGTTGGAATTCCCATATCCAGAGGCATTAAAATCTTATTCTGACAATAGATAGGCAAGAGATACTTTGTGTTTAAGCAAGGCTAAACTTTAAAATATAACAAGTGGTTTTAATGTCCTATCTGGTGTAGGAGCCATAGTAGGCACATCCAGTCTGGAGAGCATAGCAGACAATTGCAGACAGTGATACCATGTGGTGGGTGCTACAGTAGAGGTAATCCTTCCCCAGCCTTGTAGGAACACAGACTGCTCAGGAAGACTCTGTGAGATGTGACATCCACAACAAACTGAAAGACTGGTAAGAGTTAGTCCAGTGAAAGACAAAAAAGAACATTTGCAAAGCCATTTGCTGACTTTGTCAGGGCCCCATTTTGGGAATTGAAGTTTTTTTGGAGGAGAATTAAAATAAAGAGAGGGAGTGGCAGGAGATGAGATTGTGTTTGTAGGTGAGTGCCAGATCATGGTCATGCTAATAGTTTTGAACTTCATTCTGTTGTGAGGTATTGAAAGATCTAAGCAGAGAAGTATTGTCAACACACTTGTATTTTAGAAAGACAATTTTTGGGGTTTTGTGAACTTGGAGGAAATGGTCTATAAATTTATGAGGGTAAGGGCTGGAAGAAATAGGAGTTGATGGATTGAGAGACATTAATGTAGGTAAGTAGTTCATACTTCAGAGTGACTTCATGCAGTCAAGCAAAAGAAAGCAAGGAGATTAGAACAATTTCCAGCATTTCAGAGGGAACAGATAGATTTTGATATTCTTCATTGATATGTGTACACTGCAAGAAGGAAGTTGATTTTTTATTTTTGAGGGAGAAGTGGATTCATTTGCAGAATATGTTGTTTGACACAACCTTGAGATGTCTAAGTTTAGAGATAGATTTTTGAGGCAAGAGAAGGATCTAAATATTTTTTGGTTGATAGTTTGGAGACATTTGCAAGTTGCATGTCATATGGCAAGTCTATGTGACAAGAATAAAACTCTGAGGAATGTCGCCTTACATGAGATTGAGGAAGAGGAGCAAGCCTATAAAGAATGCTGAGGAAGAATGGTCATTGAGATAAGAGGACAGGAGAGAATAAGATAAAGCAGGGAACATACAAGAATATTTAACAAGGCCTAAGAGTGCCAGATGACCTAAAAGTCAAGTAGGGTAGGATCATTTCATCTGTGAGTACGTCTCCTCCAGAGGCTTTCTTGGCTGCTGTGTCCAGATCCACAAACCAAAGGCCTTTCCATACTTGAAATGCCTCTAGAGTTTTTGCATAAATTTTTACTGTCTTAACTGGTTTGTTGCATAAAACCCTTTTGGATTACCAGTTGATGTGCTGCCAAAAGGTCAGAAATAATTCCAGTTTTTAATTAAATGTAGAGGGAATGAGAGAACCGGAAAATCACCACTAGGCAAGCACCATAGTAATAATTTTGCAAGCCAGATCACCAATGACTGCTAGAATCAACTGGCAAAAGTTTGAGGAGAAACAGTATATTTGCATGGTCTGTCCCAAGATATTTTTCAATTACAATGGGAAAAATAGTAACTTTACAATGGAGAAATACAGCAGATACCACCTTAACTGAGGATTTGAGATTAACAATACAGTCCAAGCATGGTGGCACATACCTCTAATACTAACACTCAGGAAGTAGAGACAGGAGGATTGCAATCCAGCAAGACCCTGTCTCAGAAAATCACAATTAAAAAAAAAATTAGCAAACTGGTAATAAGACATATCTGTCTTCTGTAGAAGGACACCACATCATTTATTGCCCAAAATGCCAAATCTCAGTCTCATCATAAAGCATCATATAAATCCAGTGGTGCACACCTATAATGCCAGCTACCCAGGAGAAGGAGATAAGGAGGATCGTGGTTCAAGGTTGGCCCTGGGCAAAAACACAAGACCTCTTCAAAAAATAGGTAAAGAAAAGAGGACTAGGGGAAAGAGCCTGTTTAAGTGGTAGAGATCCTGTTTGTTTAGCAAGTGTAAGGCCAAGAGTGCAAACCGTAGTACTGCCCTTTGCCCCCTAAAAACAACATACAAATCCAGTTTTTAAAACAGTATAGAATATCTGTCCAATACTCTTCAAAAATGTCAAGATAATGAAAAAATGAAGAATAATGAAGGACTGTCATAGATTGACAGCGACTAAGAAGATAACATAACTAGGTGCAATATGGTATCATAGATTGGATCTTGGTGAAGGAAAATGACACTAGGGTAAAAATTGGCAAAATTTGAATAATATTTGTAGTATCAGTAATGGTATTGTACCATTGTTAATTTCCTAATTTTGATAATTATACTATGTTTTTGTAAGTTGTTAACCTTAGGGAAACCTGGGTGAGGATGTATATAAGCTCTTTCCTATTTTTACAACTTTTTTCTAAGTCTAAAATTTTTGCAAAGTAAAATAAAAGTAATAAATGTGTATTGGGATTTTTTGGGGGGGGAGGGTGCTTTGTCATCTGTTCTCACCTAGCTCTTCTGTGACCACAAATGTGAAGTTTTGGAGCCAAAGTGTGGAAGTTTGGAAGCTGACACCAATTTACTGACCTTGAGAATTGAGCAAGTTACTTTACATTCATGTGCTTTAATTTTCTCATCTGTGAAACAAGTGTAATCATTGAAATCACATCTCATATAGGGTTGCTGTGCATATTAAATAAACTGATTTATATAAAATATTTAAAGAAGATAAGTAACTTACCCAGCATCACAGAGCTAGTAAGTAGCAAACTGGGATTTGAACTAATTGGTCTGATTCCAGAAGCTATGCTACTGACCTCTGGTTTTTGAGTTGTTGGACAGGCAGGACCAACCAGCCTAAGCAGGCACCAAAATGACATCTTGGCTGTATAAGCATCCTGTCCTAAAAGAGTAAACTAAGTGGTCCAGGGTAGGCAGGAATAGTCTGAGTAATTCCTCACATTAGACTTCAGGAACAGGGAGGGAGGGCATTCCAGTTGTCCTCACTGATTCTAGGCCCCACCATTAAACAGTTTTGCTTCTTGTTTGTGGTAGGGTTGGAAAGATGATTCTCAGAAAAGTTACAACAAAGACTAACATTCGTTTAGGGAAACAGTTTAAATGATAACAGGCATTATAAATAATAGTGTTGTCAGACTGGGTTTGGTACTTCCTAGTTGGATGCTAGGAAATAAATTATTACTACAAAAAATAAAAGAAATATTTGGGGTTTTAGAAATAATTTCAAACACTGATTATTAGTATTTTACTTAGCATTTCATATAAGTGGATTTAATCATGACTTAATCAAAGTCATAATGTAAATGAATTAAACTCTCAGGCATTTAATAAGGAGATGTCAAGGTTGGGGTATAACTTAGTAAAGCACTTGTCTACCATTCTGAATTCAATCTTCAGCACTGCAAAAATAAAGAGATGTTTTACTGTATTTATTTCCTTGCAACAAAATTAATCTTTTCTTAGTATGAATACCTTTCTTAAAAGGTATTCTGATATTTAAAAATGTGCCTATCCTAAGGAGCACTGAGAGGATATGAAAGCACTACACTAAGTGTACATTGCTAAATCACCTTTAATCTGATTGCTTCTTAAAGCCTGTATTTCATTGTGTAGTTAATAGTCACTCAATATTTTGCACAAAGGCATTCTAGAGAGCAGTACCATTCAGTAAAAATATATATTATGTATATAATTTTTTTTCTTAAAGCCATATGAAAAAAGCAAGAAGAAACAGGCTAGCTTAATTTTAGCAATATATTTTATTTAACTCTATAGGCCGAAGATATGATTGCAGGCTGGATGCAGTGGCTCATGCCTGTCAGCAATTTCACATCTAAAGTTTATCCCATAGAAATTATGCGGACAAACCTTAACTTTGGGGCTGGGAATGCAGCTTAGTGATAGAGCCCTTGCTTAGAATGCACAAAGCTCTGGGTTCAGATCCCAGCACACCAAAATGAATAAACAAATTTAAAAACTTCACATTGTCATCATTCAATATGTTTAAGGATGAGGAAAGGCTATATAAATGCCCATCCATAGGAGATTAGATAAATTAAATGAACACACTGAAATATTCAGAAACTATGAAAAAAAGAATGGAATATGATATCTAGTTCAACGCAAGGCAAAAGCATAATGCAGAATATTAAATACAATCATTTGCTCAACAAGAGGGATATGTTCTAAGAAGTGAATGTCGTTAGGTAATGTCGTCATTGTATGAGCATCACAGAGTGTTCTTCACAAATGTTGGTGGTACAACCCACCACACCCCTAGGCTGTAGGGATGTGCTGCTGCATTTGTGACCATCATTGCCCAGAGCAATGTTCTGCGGTGCATGACTACATAATTCGTTCCCACTTTTATTTTTAAGTATCTTATATCCATTTTATGTGGAAATTTGGGATTTGAACTCAGGGCCTTCACCTTAAACCACTCCACCAGCCTTATTTTTCTGTTGGGTTTTTTTGAAATAGAGTCTTATGAACTATTTGCCTGGGCTGGCTTCAAAATGTGATCCTCCTCATCTCTGCCTCCTGAGTAGCTAGGATTACAGGCATGAGCCACCAGTGCCTGGCTACTAGGCATTTTTAAAAAGCAAGTATTGATATATAGTTTTTTAGTATTTCTTCTTTCCACCTGACAAAAAGTGAAAAATTGGAAGCAATGAAAATACACGGTACTCGCATTCCTGGCATTGTAGGCAGTCATTCAGATATTGCTTAAGGGGCAATGCTAAATGAGATAAAGTGGATATGAAAATGTGTGTATGTTTAAGAGGATTGCTGTAGAAAACAAATATAAGTATAACAATAATTGTCTGTAGGTGGAGGGACTGTGCATTTTGTGTGTGTGCTTCATTTTCCAAATTTTCTATGAGGAACTTTTTCTGTTACTCTTGGATTGTGGAAAATCTCTTTAGTATTATTCTTGTAAAATTCATTTGCCGAGAAGGAATGAAATTTGGGAGGCTTAGTGGTATGGGGGGGTTGAACTCAGCCTCATACTTGCTAAGCAGGAACTACCACTTATTAACACCACTAGCGTAGGAGGCTTAGATGTAACTGGTACAATAGAGAATTGAATTATTTGATATATATAAAAGTGTTTCTAAAACTGAAACATTATGCACATGAAAATATTCATCATATTTTTGTGGATTGTGTTTTGCCCAAGTAGAGGTTTTTGTGGTTAGAATTTTTTAATATATATAATGTATGTATATGTAGATATGTGTGCATATATGTGTATGTTGTCACACAAGCTTCTTCCATTATGATAAATATAATTGAATTTGGTACAGTTTGGTATGTATAAGTCCATATATTTGTTTAGCCTCTTTTACCAGGGAATTTCAAAACACTTCATAGAAAAACATCCCTTTTCTATTGGCAGGAAATATAGGTGCATTAACTTAATTTTTAGAACACCTCAACTAAAGGTCTTGGACTCAAAACTTGTTCTAAATTCGGTTGTGCTCCTTCATTTAAAGATGGGGAAAATGAAAAACCTAGTGGAGCTCATGTGAGGAGATGATGTGGAATTGAAGCTTTCTCTGGCTCAAGAAACAAGTGCCAGTATGTGATGGTGTTCATGAGGTATTGCATCCAGGTGTTATGCCACTACCTGTGCTTTACCAAGCAGGTAGCTTTAAGGACACTGAAAAATGATTTAAAATGTACACAGAGGCTGAGTGTGGTGGCATACACCAGTAATCCTAGCTACTTGGGATATAGAGATGGAGGGTTATGGTTTGAGATCAGCAGGCAAAAAGTTAGTAAGACTTCATCTTAATAAATAAGCTGGGCATGTTGGTGTGTGCCTGTCATCCCAGCTATGCAGGAGGTATAAATAGGAAGATCTCTATGTAGATAAACTAGATCTCCTATCCCCTGGCATAAACTAGAGCTCCTATCCCCCCCAAAATAACCAAAAGACTGGAGGTATGGCTCAAGAGGTAGAGCGCCTAGCACGCAAAGAGGCCATGAGTTTAAACCCCAGACCACCAAAGATGGGGGCAGGGGGAGTGTACACAGAGAAGGCAAATGGGATAGTCAAGTTCTCATTGACTTTTCTGGAGTAAGGTCAAAGGGTTTATATATTTGTGCTCAGAGGCACAAGTATATCTACTCTTTTTTTCAGCTGTGATATAAATGGATCTGTGTTGATCTCCTGTTATTTACAATATACTATTAGATTCTTTTCCTATAGTAGTAAGGAAAAATATAGTTGTGAGTAGTAAATGCCTGTGGATTTTTCCTTATTTTACTCAGGGGCCAAATGCTCCAGTGATCAGTTTTGGGCTTCGCTGAAGCACAGAGTGTTCACTTTGCAAGGCTAATGGTTACTAAAGTTGCTGCCTTTGGTGTCTTACTTTATTTAGGTTTCACGTCCTTAGCAAGCTTCTGAGTTTCATGGCCCCTATTGACCACACTACAATGAATGACGACGCCAGGTAAGTGATAGATTAACTATATGTCTCAAATGGCTGTACGACAGCCTGATATTGACCTATTCTATAGCCTCTTACCCTCTTGTTTCTACTTATCAGTTAACCATTTGTCTTTGGCATCATAGCAAGGAACTTTGTCACTTCTCTTCACTCCCATAATTACTGAAAGCAAAATAAAAAATTTGGTAGTCCATTTTTGCTGTTTTGTTTGTTTCTAACATTAGGTAGTCTACCTGCCCAGGACACCTAAGTTTCTCTCTAGGACAGAGTCCAGGTCAGCACATGTGCATGCTGTAATGCAGTGGGAGGTTTGTGCAGATGCTCTGTTTTTAGAATGACTCTAGAGATTGCTGGGAATAACCTAGTACCATGTTATTGTGTGTCACATTTTTACAACACAGATGGGAAGTGTTCATAATTATTAGGATATCATTATCACCACATACTACTTTCCCTCAAGCGAATAGTTTTGGTTTTGCTAAATTGCAAATACCTCATTCTTGGGGGTGTGTGCAAAGAGAGTTAAAAACAATTTTTTTTAAAGTAATTTTGAGGTAGAGAGGGACTTTGTAAGGATGACACTGAGACAAAAAAAACAAAAGGAAAATTATTAATAGAGCTGACTACATAAAAGTCACAATGAGAAAGACATGGAAAGCAAAGTTACTAGGTAAGTGACAAACTACAACAAAAAAGTTTTATAGGTGATATAGTTCTCTATTTATGTACAGTATTTGCAAATCTTTTTTTTTTTTTTTCAAATCTCTTAATATCCCAGTAAGAATAATGAGCAAAGTGTCAACTAGCAGACTTAAAAATTACAAAATTAAAATCTTAAGTGGCAAAAAAAATTTTAATCAAAGAAATGCAAATTTAAATAATGAGATTTCATTTTTTAATTATTAAGTACGAAAACATTAAAAAAGATTTGGTAGTCCATTTTTGCTTGTTTGTTTGTTCTAACATTAGGTAGTCTACCTGCCCAGGACACCTAAGTTTCTCTCTAGGACAGCAAGTCCAGGTCAGCACATGTTGCATGCCTGTAATGCAGTGGGAGGTTGTGCAGTAGCTCTGTTTTTTTAGAATGACTCTAGAGATCTGGGAATACCTGTACCATGTATTGTGTGTCACATTTTTTACAACACAGATGGGAAGTGTTTATAATTATTAGGATATCACTTATCCCACATACTACTTCCCTCAGCGAAATAGTTTTGGTTTTGCTAAAATTTGCAAATACCTCATTCTTGGGGGTGTGTGGCAAAGAGAGTTTTAAAAACAATTTTTTTTAAAGTAAATTTTGAGGTGGAGGGGACTTTGTAAGGATTGACACTTGAGACAAAAAAAACAAAAGGAAATTTATTAATAGCAGCATGACTACTTAAAAGTCACATGAGAAGACATTTGGAAAGCCAAAGTTTACTAGGTAAGTTGACAAACTACAACAAAAAAGTTTTATAGGTGATATAGTTCTCTATTTATGTACAGTATTTGCAAATCTTTTTTTTTTTTTCAAATCTCTTAATATCCCAGTAAGAATAATGAGCAAAGTGTCAACTAGCAGACTTAAAAATTACAAAATTAAAATCTTAAGTGGCAAAAAAAATTTTAATCAAAGAAATGCAAATTTAAATAATGAGATTTCATTTTTTAATTATTAAGTTAGAAAACATTAAAAAAGATTGGCTTCCCCCCCCCCCAGTGTTGACGATGTGAGGAAATCTACTTTAATATACTATTGTTGAGAATATGATTGGCAAAATCATGTTGGAGGGTTACTTGTCAATGTTTTACTGAGTGTTTGTTTGCAGTATTGGGGATTGAACTTGGGGCCTTACACATGCTAGGCAAGCACTCTACCACTTGGTCATGCCCCTAGCCTTTTGTTGTATTTTGTTTTTGAGATACAGTCTTGCTACCTTTTCCTGGATTAGCCTTGAATTCAGGATCCTACACCTCCCAGGGATCTGGTATTATAGGCATGCACTAATATGCTTGGCAATTTTTTGTAATTGTAAGACCCTCCCACCCCCAGGACTAGGGATTGAACCCAGGGCATTGTGCATGCTACCCATGTGCTCTACCACTTGAGCTATGTCCCCAGCCCTTTTAAAAATTTCAAATGTCTCTGTTAACCCAGAAAAATATACTTCTAGGAGTTGACCTTATTGCACCATTGTTTATAGTGATAAAAATAAATCATCCAAATGACCATCAGGAGGGAGCTAAGTAAGTCACATTAAAATTGTTCAATGAAATTAGCAGCAACTGTTAAAGGGTGAAGTAGAATTGTTTAGCATAATGTTTCAGTGGAAAAAGTAGACTACAGATTGTTATATGCATTATAATTCCATTTCTGAGTAAACATAAAATCGACTATGTATCCCTTATTCACAATGGTTGGGACCAGAAGTGATTTAGATTGTGTAATTTTTTGGATTTTGGAATGTTTGCATAGACCTTACTGGTTGAGCATCTCTAACAAGAAAATCTGAAACCAGAAGTACTCCAAACCCAAACTATTTGAGGGTTGTGTTGATAGTCAAAAAATTTCAGGTTTCAGGGACTGAGGATGTAGCCCAGTGGTTGAGCACTAGCATTCTTGAGCTCCTGGGTCCCATCCCCAGCACTGCAAAAGCAAAACAAGTAAAAATTAAGCAGGTATATGTTTGTCCATATGCAAACTTTCTCTTTTTCCTTTTTTTTTTCTTTTTTTTTGGTTCTAGAGTTTGAACTCAGGGGGCAGGTGCTCTACCACTTGAGCCACTCTGCTAGCCAATGTGTATTCATATGTATGTGTATATCCCAGTGCTTAAGAAAGTCTGAGAGTCTGTATATCCTAATATTCAGAGTATTTACTTGTGGAGAAGTGAATAGGATGATGAAGGGAGTGAAGAAAAACTTTCAGTGTTTTATTTTTTGTTTGTCTGTTTTGCTCTCTCTAATCTTTTGCCATGAGAATGAATTCATATTAGTTGTCATTTAAAAATAAGCACTGGAGCAATAACACAACTCTCCTGCTTATTGCTGGGTGGGATGGAATAAGAAATGATTTTACTTGCTATTGTATATTCTGTAGTATTTAAATTTTTCTACAATAAGGTTATGTTGCTTTATATCAACAGAAAAAAAGACATTTTTATTTTCGAAATCATACATGTAAAAATACAGAAAGGCAGTGGGAAAGTTCTGATTGCTTTTCTATTGAAGTATATAAATGAAAGATCTTCTCTGCCTTGTGGTTTCTATCCTAAACTGGCTTTTTAAAACCTACCTTCTTCTTTTCAACCCCACCCTCACCCCTTTAATTGCGGTAAAACACAAGTAACACAAAATTTCTTGGTTCTTAGCTTACCCAGCTCTGGAAAAAGAGCTATCCCCTTTCCTTAAGTTGTTTCTTGCCTCTGGTTTACTCACAAATAGGCCTAAATTGGATTAATACCCAGTGAGTTGCGGGGGAGGTGTCTAAGTCCACATCCTTGAATCTTCCATATCTCTTGTTCAGTTTGAGCTGAATAAATTTGCACTTGGTTGAACTGGATTGAAACAACCCAGCTCTCATTAAGAGAGAGGGGAATCTTTTTTTTTTTTTTATTCATATGTGCATACAAGGCTTGGTTCATTTCTCCCCCCTGCCCCCACCCACTCCCTTACTACCAACTCTGCCCCCTCCCGCTCCCCCCCACCCCCTCAATACCCAGCAGAAACTATTTTGCCCTTATTTCTAATTTTGTTGTAGAGAGATTATAAGCAATAATAGGAAGGAACAAGGGTTTTTGCTGGTTGAGATAAGGATAGCTATACAGGGCATTGACTCACATTGATTTCCTGTGCGTGGGTGTTACCTTCTAGGTTAATTCTTTTTGATCTAACCTTTTCTCTAGTTCCTGGTCCCCTTTTCCTATTGGCCTCAGTTGCTTTTAAGGTATCTGCTTTAGTTTGAGAGGGGAATCTTTAACACCAGGTATTAAAATGTCCTAGTAGAGGAAAGAGTACTGTCTTTGAAGAATCTTTACAAGGGCAATGACATCTTCATTTCGTTTTTCCTTCATTTTTGCTCCTACAGATTGTTTTCTCACACTAGGAATTTTTCTCTTTTAGTGATCTTTTTTAATGCAAAGTAGCTGGGTTGAGTCCCTGTGTTAGCAAATTTTCCTCTGGGAGCATTTCTTTCTGGGTACACTTTGGATACTGGTTTATGTGCTTTCAGGTCTGTTGTTAGCAAAAGTTTTCATGTAGCCCCCAGTATTTCATATGTGCTAGTCCGTTAGGTTTATACTCTTAGGCATTATGAGGTAGACAGGTGGTTTCTGTTGCATACATGATGAACATTCTCATCACTGAGAGAAAACCAAGGAGATCCCACTTCGCCCATGTTTTATGGACGAAGTACCTTTGGTACTGTTGGTGTGGACCAGCTCAGCTCCCAGAGCAACTACCGTTTGCCTTTCAGAATCATCTTTGCTAGGAAGCAAGAAATCCTGTGGTTCTACAGAGACAAAGTTACTGGGCTGAGGAGGAGTTCAAAGGCTTGATGTCTCACTGGCAGGGAAAGCATTCTAAGCAGAGTGTACCAAGAGCAGGTCTTACTTTACTTGCATGATTTACAGAGATGCTATCTACTTCTATATTGAAGTTTCTGAAACAGCTTACCATATACAGTGTGAAACTCCCAGGGTTCTATTAGACCAGAGGGAGTTTGCTATAAAAATGAAGATGATCTGTTATTGTGGTGCAAAGTGAAGAATTCAGGGTTATAGAAATAATCAGCTGCTTTTTGCCTGGGCTTTGTTTTGTTGTTTTGAGGCAGGGTGTTGCTATGTAGTAGCCTAGGTTGGCCTGGAACTCACTATGTATCCTTGACTGACCTTGAGCTAACAATCCTGCTGTGCTGACCCTACAGGGAGCACCATCACGCCTGGCTTGCCTATGACTTTTGTTGTTGACAGTCCTGGGGTTTCAAGTCAGTGCCTGTGCTTCCTAGGCAAATGCTCTACCCCTTG